AAGAGACCTCAACTTCATTCTTCTTTTTAAGTAAGCTCTGCTTATCTGAGGTCTCTGTCCTTTCCATATAAAGTTAGTTATCCATTTTTCCTTTTCTTTAAAAAATGATGTTGGAATCTATATTGGGATTACATTATATTTATAGATTGCTTTTGGTAGTGTTGACATTTTCACAATGTTAAAGTCTTCCTATCCATGAGCATGGTATACTGTTCCATTTTTGTAAGTCTCTTTTGATTTTTTGTAGTATAGTGTTTTGTAATTTTCTTTGTATAGGTCTTTTGTTTCTCTTATTAGATTTATGCCTAAGTATTTCATCCTTTGGGTGGCTATTGTAAATGGCATTGTTTTCTTGAATTCCTTTTCATAGCTCTCTTAATTAGTATAACGGGGAATCTAGCTGATTTTTTTATGTTGATCATGTACCCTTCCACTTTGCTGAATCTTTCAATGAGTTCCAGTAATTTACTTGTTGAGTCTTTGGACTCAACAAGTATAGAATCATATCATCTGCATGTAGAGGTGTTTTTTTCGCTGCTTCTTTGCCAATCTTTGTTGTTGTTAAATGCTGTAAAGGTGGTTCCTACTCATAGTGACCCTGTCTAGGGTTTCCAAGGAGCAGCTGACCTTGTGGTTCAAATCCTCCTTGTGGTCCAGTGCTTAATCCTACAATGCCACACCAGGACTCCAATCTTGTTGTTGTTAAGTGCCATCAAGTCAGTTCTGACTCATAGCAATCCTTTATAGCATTTCTGAGGAGCAACTGGTGGGTTTGTACTGCCAGCCTTGTAGTTTGCAGTCTGGTGCTGAGCCTACAGCGCCACACCAGGAGTTCAACAATTTCCCTTTCTTGCTTTACAGTTCTTGCTAAGACTTCCAGCACAATATTGGATAAGGAGTGGTGATAAATGGCATTCTTGTCTGGCTTCTGATTACAGCCATGTTATTTTTCTATTCAGAAAGTTTTAGCCAGGCTTGAGGCTCTTGTTGCAGTTAATATGTGTTGGTTCTGTTAGTTGGTGTAGGGAAATGGCCAGACCTGAAGCAACTCTAGGTTCTGGCAGATCTCCTCTTCTAGTGTCTTTGACTTCAGGGCCTTGTTGATTGTTTAATTCCAGGATCAAGGGCACTGGCTTCTCCCGGGAGGCACCCCATCTCAAATTTGGAGATGGTGAAAGGCGAAAGGGACCTACAACCCTGGCACATACTTTCCTGATTTTAAACCATTCATAATCTCCATGTTCTGTTCAAAAACTGCACTTTGGTCTGTGTACATGTTCCACATGAGCACATTTGGAAACCATTCTTCACAATGTTATCCATAGTTTGTCATGATTCATAGTCAGAAGCCTTTGCATAGTCAATAAAGCACAAGTAAACATCTTTCTCTGCCGTCAGCCAAAATCCACTTAACATCAGTGATGATATCCCTAATTCCATGTCCTCTTCTGAATCTGGCTTGAATTTTTGGCAATTCTCTGTTGGTTTAATGTTTTAACCATTTTTGAGTTATCTTCAACATTAGTGAGATTAATCAATCACAAAATAACAAATAGGTATGAGATCACTATTGGCAAAACTCAAGAAAAGGTTTTCATGCTAAAATAAATAGTCTTTGATGATTACCAGGGGTGGGAGGGAAAGGAGAGTAATTCACTGGTTAGAATATTGTTTTTGTTAAAGGTCATCAAGTTGAGTCCAAGTCATAGTGACTTGGACTCAACTTTCCAAGGAGCAGCTGGTGAGTTTGAACCACTGACCTTTTGGTTCAAATAAATCTTGCAGTCCAGTGGTTTATTCCACAGTGCCACCCAAGGGCTTAGAGGTAGCATGTGTTATCTCTGGTGCCAGAGAATGCAATTTACAAGAAGAGGGTGTCTGGCAGAAGAATGATGGATACAGGTGAAGACACAGGGAGAAATGCAAGGGTTAAAGGTGTAGAGGTAAATACTGTTATATACACAACCCTGCAATAATAGTTTTCTATGGGTAGATATATGGATAAATGCACAGACTGAACAGGTATGGGAGGGAAGTCGGAGTATACCCACAAATATATATAAGGGTTGACACAGTATATTGTACATGAGATTGTAGTGGTATATACAGGGGGAAAAATTATAAAAAATTTCTTAGACATTACCAAACAACTTGAGGCACAATGAGTTGCTTGGCATGGGGCTCAAGACAATAGGATCAAGAGACATCATAATTAATTGATATAACATAGTCCACATAGACAGTGTTCTCCATCCTATTTTGGTGAGTAGCAACTGGGGTCTTAAAAGCTCATGAGTGACCGTCTAAGGTGCAACTAATGGTCTATGTGGGGAAGAAAGAAGAGTGATGAAAATTGAAGATACTTGAAATTAGTTAGTCCAGTGGACTAATGAAACACATGAACATCAGTCTAGTCTCCACTACTATAAGACCAGAAGAATTAGATGGTGCCCAGCTACTAATACCTACTACTCTGAAAGGGTTCACCACGTTAGAAGGTACTTGATGGAGTTGGAGAAAATGAAGAACAAAATCAAAGCTATAATAAAAATGACTGGACTTTGACCTACACCTATGGAAGCAGTAGCTCAAAAGAGGGAACAAGTCCTTAGAGCAAGAATCATTCCCACCCCCTCCACACACAGAGTAAACAGGGATGGGCATCTTGGACATTGGCTACCCAAAATGTGGGGCGGGGGGCTACAAAGGCAAGAAGTGACTGGCTTACAAGCTTTCAAGAGGGAACCTAGATCCAGAGGGCCTGGAGGAAGGTAGAATCTCAGTGAGTAGTATTCAGTCTGACTAGGCGGGGCTGATGCAATGAAATGCAGACAGGTCTCTTGTGATACAACAGTGAATGATTGTTATCAGGACTGATTGTGAGGGTTGGAAATGTAAAGGTAGACATATTATAGTAAGGAGGGGAGTGATTAACTTTTCAGTCTAGGAGCTGAGTTCCCTAGGACCATCAAGGGAGAAGAGCAGAGAGCAGGACCCTACTCAGAGAAGCAGTGATGCCTGAAATGGAGATGATGATGTGGAGCGATGGAGCAGGTGGAGACTTTAGATCTAGAGAGGGAGAGCAACTGTGTGCTGAATACCTGGGGGGTACTGGGGAAGGATTGCATGGCGGGGATTATTGTAACCATGGCAATGAGACGATATATGGTAGAATGAATGTAAAACTAATGTTCTCCCATGTAAACTATTGCATAATTCACAATAAAACATTTAAGAAAGAAAAAAAAATGACTGGACTTACTGGTCAGAAAGAGATTGGAGAAGCTTGGTGACCCATGACCATCCTTTAGGTCTGAAACAGAACTCACCCGCTTGATCCAATTTTCAACCTTGCAGTAGATACGTATATAGGGGCAACAACAACACTATTCAAAATCAAAAGGGTAAAACATTCAAAATCAAAAGGGTAACATTTACCTAAGAACAAAGTTAAGAAGGGTTGGAAAAGAAGGTGGAATGGGAATAAGAACCACAGAGAGGAAGTAGGATAACTGTTGTTACTTGGAGGGGGTTGCAATCATTGAGATGGAATGGTGTGTGATTTGTTGAATATAAAACTATGATCCGCTCTGTAAACAGTCACTAAATTCACAATAAAAGGCTCCCAAATAAAAGAAAAGAAAAATAATTTGACTGCAGAGCAAAATCTGTTTCCTTATCTTAAGCAAACTATTTAGGACCATACTAACCAGGAACTTTTGTTGTTGTTAAGTGCCGTCGAGTCAGTTCTGACCCATAGTGACCCTTCATCGGGTTTCCAAGGAGCCGCTGGTAAACTTGAACCACCGACCTTGCAGCTCAAATGGCTTTGCAGTCTGGCACATTAACCCATGGTGCCACACCAGGACTCCATTCTGGAACTCTGCAGTGATAGAAATTCTAGGAAATGTAGTTTCAACTTATATAAATTGACAAAATGTAAATCTTCTTGTTGGCTTGGCATTCATATGCACCTCTTTTAACCATACTTAACTTCCAAAGAAGCCAACAACAACAACACAGAAAGAATGAGAGGTGCTCCCAAAGGTTTAGATTGTGCTCATAGCTATATAATAATTTTAAATTACAACCTAAATGTAAAAAAAAAAGGTTAATGGCGAAATCATGATATCCACATAAGGAAATATTATGAAGATAGTAAAAATCATGTTTTTTCTAGGTTTAATTTCCTGAGAAAATGCTTATAATACTAAAGTGAAAAACTATATATAATATTCAGAAGTAGGCTGGAGCTGGTTCATGTGGGTTCTCTGTAGCTGAATTTGTCATCTCTTCCCAATTACTTGTTTAGTGATTTGGTAGCCTGAAATAGGCCTTGGTGGGAGTATTTACAGTGCAAATATTAGCAAACAATACAAAACTGGACTGCTATCCCAGCCTCCCACCAACTGTTAAATACGTTCCGGTACACCACTGAATAGATGTACATGTACAAGGAATAGAAAACTCATTGTTGTTGTTGTTAAGTGTTGTCGAGTAGGTTCCGACTCATAGCAACCCTGTATAGGGTTTCCCAGGACTGGCTGGTGAGCCTGAACTGTCGACCTTGTGGTTCAAACCAACCTTGTAGTCCAGCCCATTAAACCCGAAGCTCCACACAAGGAATAGAAAACTCTTTGGAAGGATGAAGTGCCAAACTTGTAATGGTGTTACCTCTGGGGAGGAGAATAGTTTTGTGGCTGAGAGTGTGAAAGGAAACTTCCTCTTTTCACCATATATATATTTCTATATTTTAAAATTCTCTTATAGTGAGCATATAGACATATATTTCTTTTACTTAAAAAAAAAAAAAAAAATCTGCTATGTTGGAAATACAGGATTGGTGGCTTTTCCTTTGAGAAGCTAAAAGGTGATCACAAATACTATCAGAAATGGCCCACGAAGAGGCTGAAGACCAAGCCAGGGATTTGGATTCTGTTTCCTCAAAATCTGCTTTTTCTGCTTGCCCAAGTAAATGGGTCTTTTCTTCTCTCTTGCAGGTTACCCTACAGCCTACCCAGCAGCAGCTCCTGCTTACAATCCCAGCCTCTATCCAACCAATAGCCCCAGTTATGCTCCAGGTAAGGAGAATGTGGGAGCAGTAATGGTGACTGGGGTGAAAGTGGGGCTCTATTTGGAAAACTAAACCCATTTGCTGGCCTTGCCCTTTTCTTAATTGATCTTAGCTCAGCCTATGCAGGACTGATTGTCTTGGGAGTCCTCTCTGGGAATTGGGTCAAATCAACCTCAGAGTTGGGATGGAAGTAGAGTGTTCTCCATATTCCTTGAGACTTCAGATTGGCCCATCTCTCCTCTGCTGGAGTGTCCAAGATGTGTGTCCTCCTCACAGAACCTTTTCTGGTCTCTCAAATGTTGTCCAAATCTATTCTTTGTTTAGTTTTCCCTAAGACTGTCATTGGGAAGCACATCTGTGCATGCACACACACACACTTGTCAGGCTCCCTGGGTATAGATTTGGAAAAGGTGAAAGACTTGCCATCAGAGGGTGAAGACCTGATTTTCAAATTAAGGTGAGCTGCTACATTTTCAAAAATTAAGAAGGCCCAACACTCTTTGGATGGAGGCTGAAACAGATTTGAAAACCTTATAAAGGTTTGTTTGATTTGGCAGAAGCAGCAGTTTAGAGGTCTTACTACTGACCTTTATCCCGTCAGTCTCAGTAGGAGAAAGAGGATGGGCTCTGCAGTTAGAAAGTCCTGGGTTTGAATCCTGATTACTCAACTCACTAGTTGTGAGGCCTTGGGCAAATTGCCTCACCTCTCTGAAGAATGTAACTACCTACCTCAGGGTTGTAGATTGTTTTGTGTCAGCTTCTCTTAATTTGCTCAGCAAATATTTGTTGAATGTCCTATACACTGTGACAGAAAAAAAAATTTGTTGAATGTCCTATACACAAGGATGCCATCTTTTCCTGAAGGAACTTGCAGACCACTTGAGACCCCTGGCACACAAACAAGTTTACCGTAATACAGTGTGGTAAATTTTGTAAAACAAATACAAAATAAGAAGAGAGTAGACAGAGGAGTGACTAGCAGTCTGCCTAAAGATAGAAATGTCAGGGAGGCTTCAAAGAGGGCCTAGCAATAGAAACTTGAGGGAGAAGCTGGGAGTTTTTTAAGTACATAAAGGCAGGCATGGGCAAAGACATGGAGACATGAGAACATGACAGTGTTGTTGTTGTTGTTAGGTGTTGTCCAGTCAGCTTCAACTCATAGTGACCCAATGCACAACAGAAGGAAAAACTGTCTGGTCCTGTGCAGTCCTTACAGTTGTTAGTGGGAATGGTTGAAGCTAGAAGGAGAGAGGGTCAGATCAGGCTGGTCTCTTGCCTTGAATGTCATGATAATATCTCCATTTTCTTGTATTTATAATCATAGAATTAGAAAGCTTAAAAGACCTTAGAGATCATTCACTTTAGTGAACTCTTCTATTATTGATGGGTGAGGTCCAGAGAGGAGAGCAGTGTTTTTCCCAGTTAGCCAGTGGATCCACACTAGCATATGGACTAGTACCCTTTGCAGATTTCCTCTTATTTCATCCTTTCTGTGTCAATCCAGGACTCATTCTACTGGTATTCCTTTCTTAAGGAGACATTTAAAGAAAGAAGAAGATAGGTTATACCAGAAGACCTAGATTTGAGTCCTGACTCTTGTCACTACCTAGATGAACAACCTTGAAGTTACTTACCTTTTTGAACCTTCATTTCTTCATCCCTAAAGTAGGGGGTGTGGTGACTTTGTACAGTAAGCACTGAACTACCAACCACAAAGTCAGTGGTTTGAACTCAACAGCTCATTCAGCAAAAAAATGAGGCTTTCTGCTCCAGCAACGATTTACTGCCTCAGAAACCCTGTACAGGGTCACTATGAGTCAGAGCTGACTCAGTGGCACACAACAGCAAAGTAAAAATTATAATTCATATTGTACACACACACACAAACACACACACACACCATGAGGTTATTAAACAGCCCTCCTTTGTTTTATACAATAATGCATAATAGCGTTTTTATGCAAATAAGTGTTATTAACCTCTGGAGTGCTTACATTGTTGTTGTTAAGTGCCATTGAGTTGGTTCTGACTTTGCAGTCCAGCACATTAACCTGCTGTGTGCCACAGACATTTATTTTGGCCCTGTTATGCCTAAGCCACTTTGAAAGACACTTGTAAATGATTCAAAGTTGAGGAATTTTGGTCATTGCTCTCAAAGAGCTTTTGAGAGAAGCAGTAACTCATGAGCTGAAAAATCTATAATGGCACCTCAGCATTAATACTTCATATTTACTTTTAGTTAATTATAAATAATTTTGTCGTTAAATGCCACTGAGTCAGTTCTACTTTTAGTGACTCTGTATACGGTTTCTGAGGAAAGGCTGGAGGGTTTGAATCACCAACCTTATGGTTAGCAATTCATTGCTTACCCTATGGCACCATACCAGGATGCTAACCTCTATTTGTTGTTGTTGTTAAATACTGTCTAGTTTGTCGCAACTAATAGAGACCTGTATAGAGTTTCTGAAATGCAGCTGGTGAATTTGAACCGCTGACCTTGTGGTTCAAGCCAACCTTATGATCAAGTGCCATACCAGGACTCCTATTTAGCCTCTGTTTGTTGTTGTTTGTTGTTAAGTGTTTTTTGAGTCAATTCTGACTCATAGTGACTCTGTACAGTTTCCTAGGAGCAGCTGGTGGATTTGAACCACCAACCTTTTGGTTTGCAGTCCAGTTGCTGATCCTCCAGCATTCCACCAGAAGTTTAACAACTGTTATATACAAAGCTCTGTACTGAAGGTTGGAGAAGATAATAGATAGTGGTCTGTGCTCTCAAACAACTCAGTTTAAAGGAAGTGATACAAAAACCTACTGATAATACAATGTGTTGTTGTTGTTGTTGTTAAATGTTGTCAGGTTGATTCCGGCTCATAGCAACCTTGTATAGGGGCTTTGAGGAGTGGCTGGTGGATTTGAACTGCCGACCTTGTGGTTAGCAGTCCAGTGCTGATCCTACAGTGCCACATAGTAATGGACTCCAGTAATGGAGCTAGCAGCTGGCAATCACAGAGCACTTCTCTCAATTGTGCCCCAAGATATCGCCAACCAGGACACAGAGATGGTTTCTGTCTCAAAAACACAACAGGACTCTTTGCCCCTTTAGTTTCATCCCAGTGGTGCTCAAGTATTTAATAATTAAGCATTTACTGCAAGTGGGAAGGTCAGTTAGCTACATCCAAATGTAAAAACCTTGTTCTTTTAACATCAACTTAGAAGCTAGAACCTATCTGGAAGGAAAGAAGCCTATTTTTTTAAAATTTAAGAACTTTTTTCAGGGAAAGATGGCTGTTTCTGAGTAAGAGTGTTGCTGTCAGCCCATCTCCATCCTCAGAAGACATTGTTCTACAAAATATTTGACCATGAGGTAAAATAGTGGGGTTCCTGTACTCCTTGGTGAAAGTCTTGCTGCAGATGGTGGTGGCGGTGTGCTGTGGAATCAGGTCCAACTCATAGCAACCTTGTATAGGGTTTCCAAGGCTGTAGATCTTTATGGGAGCAGAAAGCCTCATCTTTCTCCTGCGTAACAGCTGGTAGTTTCAAACTGCTGACCTTGAGATTATCAGCCTGAATCATAACCACTGCACTACCAGAGCACCTTCCTGCTGCAGGTAGTAGGTTCCAAAGATCGTGTGTGGCCCAGCTACTCATTGTCCCCTTAGGATGCATCTAGCTGCAAGAAGCAGAACTAAACTGCAAGTGGCTTCAACAGTTTGGACATTCATTGTCTAGTAACAGGAAGACAGGAGTTTCAACTGAATCTGAACCCTGTTTCAGTTTAGTAGTTCACCAATGCCGACAAGAAACTAGGCTCTTCATCTGTCAGGCTGGTCTCTTGTCTGCAGTGACTCCTTGCACCACTATGGCTGCCCAAGTGTCATATTTATACTGACTGTATTTAAAACAGAGTCCTGGTGTAGTGCTGTGGGATAATGCACTGGAGCGCAAGGTCAGTTTGAACCACAAGGTTGGTGGTTGTTCCTGGAAACCCTATACAGGGTCGCTGTGGATTGGAACCAACTCAGTAGTGCTTAATAACAACAATATTCAAAACAGAAAAGGAATGGTTTTCTCATCACTTGTCTCATTATTAGGGAGCAGTATCTTTCCCATTAAGTCTCTGGACAACTTGCTATCAAATCTTACTGGCCAGAATGTGGTCATATTTCCACATCAATCACAGACCTTAAGGAAGGGACCAGCCTGACAGGTTCAGGTCACTCAGTATATCACCTGGGTCTGTGGGAGAGGCTCTTTGTTGCACAATTAACATCAAGTCCCTGTTAGCCTGGAAGAATGTGTGGGGGGAAAGATGGTTATGATTACATAACAAACATATTAGCCACTTACCCACTTCTCATCCACAGTAGCCAAAAAGTTCGTTATAAAGCTACAGAGATAAGAGAATCCATTCTCAAAACAATCTGTTAAGTAACAGAGCATCCTAGTTTCCATTATACTTTCAAACACATTAAAAATTTTTAAGCATTTTGTGAGTTATAGTCAATACAGCACTTGCCCCATTATCCGTGTGAAGAAACTGAGTCTTCAGTGGGTGAAGCGATTTTAAAATGATCATCAATATAAGAATCATCTAACAAAAACTATCTCTGTGCCAAGTATATTGCTAGATTATTTACATAGGAGGTTACAGACTAGTGGACAATAATACAGGTCATTTATATTAATCTGTAGGCAATATGGGATCCTGGTGTGGCACTGGAAGGTAAGCACTGGACTGTTAACTGCAAGGTCAGTAGTTCAAAACCATGAGCTGCGCCTTGGAAACCGTATACAACGGCTCTGAGTCAGAATGGACTCAACAGCACATAACAACACAGGCAATTTATATGTAAGCAGAGAAAGTTGGGGTGTACTGAACGTGGAAGAGGTTAGAGATTGGGGAGCACTGGGAATGGCCTCTCAAGGGAAAAAACAAAATATTTAAATTGGCCTTGAAGATGAATGGTAAGAGTTTTCCAGAAGTGTGTGGAGGTGAGGACAGAGAAATAGATATTTAGTTCAAGCATGAAGGCAAGAAAGTGAAGGTTATACTAGGGAAAAGACAAATAGTTCTGTGTGGTTGGAATTTACAATAAGTGAGGAAAAGTGGCAAGCAATGAAGATATAAGGGTTACACTGGGGACAGACTGTGAAGGGGTTTGAATGTTAGGCCAAGGGACAGAATTTGTCTGTAAATGATTTGAAACCATTAGACAGTTTTAAACTAGTGAGTTTCAGATTTGTGTTGTATACAGATTACTCTGGTAGCAGTGTAGAAAGTTTTTCCTAGTAGGTGAGATCAGATATGAAGTTAAGGCAGTAGCCCAAAGAAAAAGCTAAAACAGTAGAGCTGAGATGAAATAGAGGGGGGGATTATACAAATATTCAGATTTGTTGTTGTTAAGTGCTGTCAAGTGGTTCTGACTCATAGCAATCCTGTATAGGGTTTCCAAGGAGCAGCTAGTGGGTTTGAACAACTGACCTTATAGTTAGCAGTCTAGTGCTGATCTTCTAACACCATATCAGTATGCTAACCTCTATTTAGCAACTATTATATACAAAACTCTTTACTGAAGGTCAGAAAAAATAGTGGATAAATGGTGGTCTGTGCTCTCCAAGTACTCAGTTTAAAGGCAGTGACACAAAAACTTACTGATAATATAATGTGGTGTTGTTATTAAGTGCTGTCTAGTCAGTTCCACACATAATGATCTTGTATAGGGTTTTGGAGGAGCTGTTAGTGGTTTGAATTTCCAACCTTGCAGTTAGTAGTCCAGCGCTTATCCTACAGTGCCACACTAGAATCTCCTATTATAATATGTATTGTTGTTGTTAAGTACCGTGGAGTTGGTTCCAACTCATAGTGACCCTGCACAGGGTTTCCGAGGCTGTAAATCTTTACGGGAGCAGAAAGCCTCATCTTTCTCCCGTGGAACCG